GATCTTTATAATGAAAATTTTTAGTAAACGTGTAAATTATTCATTGAATTACTTTAATAAATAATAAGAATAATAAGAAAATAACTAGAATTTTTTTTCTATTATTTAGTTATTTATTGTTATCTGTTACAATTAAAAAAACAAATTTTTAACATAAAATGATCAGAAAATGGAAAAAAAATTAAATAAGAATTAAATTTCTTAATTTATAAAAATTCAAATTTATATTATACATTTAGAAATATAGGTATTTCAAAAGTTTAGGTTTAAGTTTAAGTTTAACTCTAAATTTAGTTTTGATTTTAAATTTAGATTTGAGTTAAATTTCGATTTAGATTTCTTAGAATAGAATTAAACTTAGTTCTAATTGCAAACTTTACAAATCAATGAAATGTTTTTTTTATGAAATAGTTTTTAACTATAATTTTTCAAATGCATTAAAAATTTATAATATTAAAGTTATTTTTAATCTCTTTTCCTTATTAATAACATCTTCACAAATTGATCACAAAAAAAATTTTCAAAAACTCAAATAAAAATGTCCAACGAAGTATAAAAAATAAGAAAAAGCACTGGTATGTGTTCAAATTGTGTTCCATCGTATATTGCATTCACATATATCATTTACCAAACGTTTTCTTGCATTGGTTTTCCATAGCCACGGCACGATCGCAAAAGATCCGACGGTGATCAGGGCACATAGGTAGGCATATGCGTATATATACACATAGATAGGTGAAGCAGCGGTTTGTACGGTTAACAAACGAACACAGATATCTCGTATCATCGGCGGATGAGTTAGATGGTCGGTGCGAAGTCAGTCACTTGATGGTGCTGGTATGACGTGGTAAATTATTTATTCACCGGCGACTGCGGGTGAATAATGGATCTTCCTTCGCCGCGAATGGCACCAAGAAACGTTATTGATCACCGAAATATCAAAAGTAGGCGTATCCATCACCGATGGACCACCATACGTATATACAGGGTGTTAAGAAACATGTGAGACGAAAAGAGGATGAAATGAAGATAAATTCTATTATTTGTTTCTATTTCTCTACATCTAACGCAAACTTAAATTGCTCATAATTTAATAAATAAATTATCAATTTATATATTTTTGAGTTTGTATTTAAAAATCTTTGATTTGTTTTAAAATTTAGAATAAGAAAATTGCATTGGAAACTTCACCTTATATATATATAGAAACGAACGTATATGGAAACGATCCGGTAGAGGAACTCGCGTATACGCGATTATATCCTGAACACAAATGGGAAGAGTGGACTATACATATAGAAGAAGAGAGGAGATAGAGGTGAAGAACGGATGGATGGATGGACAGACAGACGGATGGAATGCTCGGGCTGCATCGGTACGAGGCCTGTTCTCGACAATAAAATCGATTTTTCATACGAGGCATTTATCATACACCCGCGATAATGGGTGTGTATGGAGATACGGTATAAATATTTCGAGGTAAATAATCGTTAGCTTTCGAGTAACGGAGTGTGGAGAGAGCATTAATAATATCGGTGTCCTTTTCATGTGGTGGAAAGAATTGACAGCATGGTAGAATCCTTCGTTACCAATGACTGTGCGCGCGTGAACGAGAGTGAGGTTATGTATACGCGTGTGTGTAGCTCATATGTAAGTTCGAATGATAATAAGCGTCAAGATTCTTGTTTGTGAACATTTCTCTTTTGAAGAACGGTGTGAAAAGTGTCCGGGAAATTCGAGAACCAATAATGGAAGGTATGAGAAATCTTTCGATTAATTATTTGAAGTTAACCTATCAATTTTCTTTTTCTTCATGTCCAATATAATTTATATTATCGTATATTCTTACGATAAAATTTTATTTCAAGAGGATTTAAGTTTTATGAATATTTGATCATCTAAAAGATAATTTTAAAGATCTTATAAAGATACTATATTGAATTTATAAAGTTAATCTATTATATATTAAAATGACTAGAAATTATTTTATTATTATGATCTTAATGTTGGACATTTAAAACGCCATTGAATTTTGGTTTTCTCGCGGTCGACAGCGCAATTAGTATCCCGCTGATTTTCAAAGAAGGGTGTTGCTATTCACTTTCGAAATACGCACTTGTGGATACTTCGGTCTCTTCGTGGTCCCTTTGTCCTGATCAATCGAGAAAATTTTTCGGATGGCTTGTCGAGATCGAGGGCTAAATTATCGACGACAAGTGTCCCACGGTCGAATGATTGTCGTTCAGGCAGATACAATAGCATCCGATTCAAACGAACGTGCTTATCTCGGTAAAAAAGTCTATTTAGATTACTCGTATAGCAGATATACATATCTTCCCTACAATCTATGTAAGTGAGCTTTGCTCTTGCATTTGTCTCTTCCTTTTTTCTTTTTAATCTTTGCATTCAAATCTCGGACAGACATGATATATACATATATTTTCTTTTTTTATTATCGAAATGGAGATTAATTTTTTTCGTGTATTTTTTTTCGTGAATTTCTTTTCTTTTCATTCTTTTCTTTCTAATCTTTGATCAAGTATGTATAAAAGAATTAGAATATTTAGACTGTCATTCATTAATTGAATAGTAGTGTTCTTATGTATATTATTAACTAACTACATTCATAGAAAACGAATTTGAAATTTTAACTTATAAATTTTTTCCTAATAATTTTATTTTACCAAATAAATTTATATAATTAGTAAAATTTCATATAACATATAAATTTTTGTTTCCTTATTAAAATTTATGAAAGTGCAAATTTATGAAGTGATAATAAGAATTATATTTGTCCGTTTATATTT